AACATGACTCCCAAGGCAAAAATTCTAGGAAGCCTGAGGTAACAAGCAAGCCCCAAGTGCTGCTCCACTGGAAGCAATGATTGCTGGCATCTGTGGGGTTTTTTTCCCCTTTCTTATCAAAACTATTAGGTCACACATGCTCCTTGCAAGCTGCTGCCTTTTCTTTTGTTATTGTTCTCACCCCAGCAACAGAAATGGCAGGTGTGTGCAGTTTCCCCTCAGTGTTAGCAACCATTGCTCTAGTTAAGTACTGGTGAATAATACGCCTACAAATCATCCTGTATTTTCCAAATGCATGGTCAGGTTGTTGCAGCTTTGGAGGGAATGAGTAATTTGAAGGAATTTGTATCTAATGTGACTAGATATATGTTTTTAGATTATCTGAAAAAATATTTCCTGAAAGCAAGCAAGCAAACAAACAATTCTAATTACAGAAAGAGGTGCGGTCAGCTTTTTTCCCAAATGGGATTTTAAAAAAAATTGATTATGTAAAAAAATCAACCAGAGGCCTGGTTAAGAGGTTTAAAGTTGAATTGCATGCCATATTAGAACAAAAGTCTTACTAAGTATTTGTAGCAAATTTCTAGCATAGCACTTAGCTCCTTGTGCTATGGTTTGGACATCAGAATTAAAATAAAGCAGCCCCCAACACAGACAGGCCCTGTCTTTTCACAGGCCCTTTGTGTTCCTGTGTTGGCTGATGTGATTTTATGTGACCTTCTGGGATCTTGCTCCCACACACTGCAGGGATGAGCGGGGAGGGACAGTTTTCTGATATTTGATGTGAAGGATTAACCTGATTTCTCCTATAGGGGACAAATATTAATTGGCAATACCTAAGCTTATATTATAGTATTTCCACTAAATACTTTATTAGTATGCTAAGTACTAAATGTACTATATTTTAAGAAGTTGGTTTGCAAATAATATTTTCCTTTTCCTTTATAAATATATAAATACTAAAAAACCAAGGATCTAACCTAGGATTCAGCTCTTCAGCAAGTTTACTGTGCAGTAAAAACTTGTAGCAAACAGAATTCTCGTCTTCATTGTTACCTTGATGATCAAGAAAATACTTGTTTGCATTTGTGGATTCATCCAGAGGGAAGAGGAGAAAGGAGAAAAACTGAGAATCTGTAATGATGCGGAGTGCATATGTTTTAGAGCAAACTAAGCCAGTGTGGACAGTCTGAGAAGGCAATATAGAAGCAGGGAAATAAAAGCATAGGACAAAAGCTAGAACGAGTTCAGCATTGCTTACTGCAAGGGAGGCTAGTGAAAGATTATCTACAGCTCTTGAAAACGCTGCACAAATATTCTGATTTCATAGATGTGGTAGAAATTTTCAGCTTTACCACTGCACGTGGCAAAACTCTTCAGTTGTAATAGCTTTAAACAACCACCTTTTCAATTCTCTGTTTGTTCTTTGGTACCTTAATTCTGCCCCAGCACCCTTTCCCCTCCTGTGGCAGGTGCCTGCCAGCCCAGCCCGGTGGGTGTCGTCCCCTTGCTCTGCCCTGAGCTCGTGCAGGAGCCCAGCAATCGCCGTGATGCTGCTGGGCTCCTGGTCACTAATCGGCCCCAAAACAGTGGCTGCTAGGGCTTTAATCAGCACAGCTGTGTTTGCAGGTTGGATTTAGAGTCTGTCCTGTGAATATCTTCTGTAACTAATGGCTGCATCAATATTCTAGATCAAAGCACGAAAGGACTTTCAGCCAGTGAGTCTAAATTGCTTGTTAGCTAATACAGGGTAAGAGGTTTTTAACATTGATCCCTCTTCCACAGTGCTATCATCTTTCATTTGAGTAGATTTCAAATTATTTCTGTTTGTGTGTATGTGCATGTTTATGCATATAGAAGTTTTTTGGTCATAGAGACAGATTTATTGTCAGAGCCATACTGGACAGGTAGTATGTTTTCAGCCCCTCTGTATAGATTTGTTAGGGTGTTGTGAGGATTTTTTTGATATTCAGGGTTTTCTTTGCAGAAATGTAGGGTAGTTTTAAAATATTGATTGAAATATAGTGGTATAAAAATCCTTCTGTTCGTGTAAATTATGGAATAGGTATGTCACAAGCCATTTTCTTTATATTCTGTGAAAAATATTCTTTTCCCATGCACCCACATTGGAGCATGTGTTGTATAGTAAATTGGATAAACCTGAAGTGCTGTCCAGTATGCAGAAGACCACATGTCTGTGTGCTGTGGCTGTGAGGTAAAAGCATTGCAATCTTACATCACTTAAGTAGGGCTGCTTTTTCTGCTGCCTCTAGGAAATCTCAGCCATGGGCAGTGTAGAAAGTACGGTCCCCATTCTGCTGTGCTGATGTTTAGCATTTAAATGCAGTGTGACAGCTACAAGCTTTAAGGGGTAAAATTTTGAATTCTAAATAACCTATATATTAAATATGTACATAACCTTCATGTCCAAAGTTGAGTAGTCCCAGTTGACTGTAATATTTTTACTTTCTTCTGTCACTGTGGTGGGCAGGTCTCTGCCTTTTGGGAATTGGGAAGAGTTTCTTCTCTTTGTAGTTTACAGTGTTTAGTTCAGTCCACGTTTTCATGTTGCCTCTGTACTTCAGGAAGGAGTGTTTTAATGAATCGTGTTTGCCAATGTAATAAAATCCTCCTGTTGGAAAAACAGCCTGGCAGCTGGCTTCGTTGTTGTATCAGAGACCAGGTTCGTGCTGTCGTGTGGATGTAGTCCAGTGTTTTCTGCCCTCGAGTGTTGCACAGACCCAGGATCCCCTCCTGGCTGGCAGACACACAGAAACAACAGCCAGCGTGATGGGAAGAAAACACAAGGAAATACCGTAACTGGAGTCTTAGACCTGGTAAGACTCTATCTAAAGGCATGCAGAAGGAATTTGCATTACCAGCAGAAGGAGAAAAATCTCATGTGAACACTTTGGGTTTCTAGTTTTCTAAAAGGATCTAGATGAAAGGTTGCGCAGTGCGTTTTCAAGGCCTCCAGGCAATTACTTAGATATCAGAGTAAAGCTTATAATTGGGGTATGGGGAGGATGAAAGGACAGAGTTAGGAACAAATTCAATTTATAATGTGAAATGATTGCATAATAATCCTTTTACATGAAATTAAATAGTAATAAATGTAGTCATTATCTGTATATCCATGCATTTAATTGTAATGTTATTTTTCTGTTGCCACATAGTTACCAGTTCTCATGCTAAGGGTGAGTTTTGAATAACTAGTTGTGTTTATATAGCTTTCTGTAAGAAGAGGCAAATTTGTCATCTGATGTTTGTAACTTGCCAGAAGGCTACTTTTCCTTTAGGGAATATATTACTTTGATTTCTAATAGTATCAAAACAATTGCAAACAGCTAAGCACAAGGTGTCCTTGGAAAATCATAAATTTTTTAGTAAAAGTTATCTCCTGCAAAGCTAGGCAACGTGAAGAGAATTTTTTTTTTTTTTTTAAATGGAAATGGTTTTCAGCACTAAAGCTTGAACTTGGTAAGTCCCTTAGCAAAACTCCTATCAGTATTTTGGGAAGAATTTTTGGACTCCACTCTTAAACTCTGCTTCTCTTTTTGGCAGTTACGAGCTCTGTAACCCTTCATATGGCAGTTGAGTGGATACAGGGAATGAGAATTATCATCTCATGCGTAAAGCTGGTCCTGTCAAAACACATGCATACTCATAGAGAACAATGTCTTTAAGTTATTGTTGCTTCTCCTGTAAAACTGGGCAGGCCAGGTGTCTGCTTTGTTAATTTGGTTTCTGTATGAGCACTCAGCAGAATTTTTTTTTTAATTTTATTTTTTAATAAAAATTGTTGTCATTGGTAGTGGGCTGAACTGTCGGGTGAGATCTGGACACTTGTTTGTCAAAACTGATTGGCACTAAATACACAGAAGTCCTTTTTGTGGAGGTGAAATTGAACTTGTCAGGAGTAATTGGGGGATCACTTCCCTGCCCTGCATGCTCAAGTGCACGTTCTACAGCCCTGTGCTGCAGAAATGGACTTCACTGAATCTTTACTGACTACAAAGCGTTTTGTAGAAAACTCTCATTTGAAGAACTGAAATTGGTTTTCCTCTTATTTCCTCAAATATTTTCATCCTTAATTTCCAAACACTTCAGTGTGTCAACAGTAAAGACTTATTTTGCAAATGACAGGTACACGATGATGTTGTAGGAAGAAGTTATCTCTATCTCTATTAGCTGTACTCAGTACACTGTTTAGAAATTTTTCCATATAATTGCAGCTCTATGCTGGATTAGTTATACACAGACAGGCACACACACCCCTACCTGCTACTATGGAATTTCAGATAGCCCTCAGAGTTGAACTTAGAGACCTTATTGAGTGAGAACTAAAGCTTGCAGCCTGGCTTCTGAAATCTATGGATGGACTACGCTAAAGTCTGCTTATTAAATGCTTTTCTCAGGAGATTAAGATCAGTCAGGATTTTGTATTAGAGAGGTGGGGACTAGCTAGTGTGCTTTAACAGGCTGGAGCTTTATGATTTTATTTTATTTTATTTTTTAAATCATAGTTTGATATAAACTTAAATTATTGCCTTGGACTTGGTTGGCATTTGGCTACAAGTGCCAGAAGAAAGATGATCTTGGCTTTGTTGACTTAAGGGGGCTGTAAGGATTGAGGGAACTTAGTAAGAGATTTCCATTTTGACTGTGATCATATCACTGTATGGACAGTCCTGCTGTGTACAGGGACTCCAAGAACAGCCGTTTTAAATAGAAGAAAGATTTACTTTGCATTAGTCATGGTGGTTCTTCAGATGCTTCACAACAATGCATTGTGCATCCAGATTAAATGGAAAAAATCCCCATATTCATATGTCACATTGCTCAAGGTACATTATACAAGTAGATCTTGAGTGCATAGTGTTAGGTTGAATTACAGGAGGGACATATTCAGCATGATTGCTTTCTGCTCATTATGTTAAATGCCATTTGGTCTTAACTGGGTGCACCTGGATTAACATCAATGCATTCTCTTCTTGTAGGAGCAGCTTACTGCCAGTTCATGGACATGTTGTTCCCAGGGTGTATTAGCTTGAAGAAAGTAAAGTTTCAAGCAAAGCTGGAGCATGAATACATTCACAACTTCAAACTTCTGCAGGCATCGTTTAAAAGAATGAATGTGGATAAGGTAGGCATTCTGTATTTGTATTGCCATCACTACAAGTTTCAAAAGTTGTATAAACTGGGTAAAATCAATAAATAGGGGAAACAAACTTAAAAATACTTCAAATCCACTTTTTCAACTTTTGGACTGAGAACTGGAGTTACAAGTTGTGTGTGAAGATGTTCTTGACCTTTTGTCACCTGAAAAGGGTATTTGGGCATGAAGGAAGAAATTTGGTATGCCCCATTTAGGTACAAAGTGAAAATTGAGTCCATGTGTACGCTGAGGAATTGTGCAGCCTAACTCATATCTTTATATCAGAAACTTTTTTGATAAAATACCACATGTTGGAAATTCTTTACCATCAGTGAACCTTAATTTCAGATACAGTAAAATTACTGGTGACCTGATTATTTGCCAAGAAAATAACTTGGAAATGTGCTGTTCTTATAAGTATTCCATGTTTCTTGTCCAAAACAGAGTTTAAGGAATTTAAATTACTGAAGAGCTAGAATAATTTACCCAGTGATTCAATGGGTTGGACAGCACAGAAGTCTCTTAAAAAATGTTTTGTTCAACTATAAGGTATTGGTTTATGCTTGAAAATGAGAGTTTGATGGACTCAGCAATATGAATAATGAAAGTTACGTTGTCAGACTTTGAGTTTTACATAGATGCACTACCTGTATATACTTTTAAGGTTCTACTCTGGCTTTTAGGGTTCCCTCATTCTGAAATTTAAACAGTTTTAATGGAAAGTCCTGTAAGACTTTGATAAAGCACTGGAAAATGCTCATTGTTTCCTGAAATGTTGTGGATGCTTCTATTTACAGTGTGATTTTTTTACTGAAACATTGGAAAGCCTAATAAAGTTAACAATTTTAAATAAAGCCTAATAAAGTTGTCAGTTTTTCTGTAGGGAGCAAACTTCTCAATGTAGAATTAAGATACAAATGGAACAACCTGAAAGGACATGCAAAATGCTACATTAATCCTTGTAGGAGGATCATAGACTTATAAAATGCTGTACAGTTGGCTTAACCTTGAAGAAGAAATTAAATGCAATGGTTTTAGGTACCCTTTTTCCAGCTGAAAATTGAAAGCATTCAGGAAGCATTAAGATCCATTTAACTTGTCTCTTTAATCAGCTACATGAATTAAGCAAGGCAGAGCAACCCTCCTTCTGCAGTTGTAGTCCCTGTCTGCCCACAGTGTCTGGGAAGCTTGAGCACTGTAATACTGGCCCAAGACACCTTTTAAAAGTTTCACTTCTGTGAAAAATTTGCAGATGAGGACATTCTCATAGCCCTTCTTTTGTTTTACTAAAATTTCATAGGCATTTTAGTCAACTTCTGCTTGTCCACAAACTGTTCTATGTATAGCTGTATATGGAATGGAAAAAAATTACAAGGTTAAAACCTCAGGGTTAGTTTGAATGAAGATCTTGTACTACCAAAATGTAGGTTGGTTTGAACTTCAACACGTCTTGGAAAAGCTGCTGAGTTTTTTGTAGTTCAAACAGCGGGACAGAGAGCCATAAACTCCTGTTTGGACCTTTTGAAGAATTGTTCATTTTTAGTATGCCCAACTGTAGCATACCCATTAAGAACAGAAATCCCTAGTTAGCTGAAGATGGTGTTCCTCCCAGAACAGCTTCACTCATCATGGCTGTCACTGCAATAAGAAAGGAATAACCCTGTGGAAGAGCAGTCACAAATGCTTACATTCAAACACTGTATGGCCACGTCAAAGGCTAAGTCTTTGTTTTGGTTTGGTTTGATTTCTTATTAAGAGCACTTACAAATCCACCGTCATTCCCTTCCTTTTAGGAAGCAACCAATGTCAGAGGAATGGATGCTGATATAGTTAGTAGATTTTTTTTTTTTTTATTTTTCAAATAAGTGTGTTTTTATATTTAACAATGGCAATGATAAATTATTGGAACCTTTGTTCTATCTTTCAGGTAATTCCCGTGGAAAAACTGGTCAAAGGGCGCTTCCAAGACAACTTAGATTTCATTCAATGGTTTAAGAAGTTCTTTGATGCTAACTATGATGGGAAGGAGTATGATCCTGTGGAAGCTCGACAAGGCCAAGATGCTATTCCTCCACCAGACCCTGGTGAACAGATCTTCAACCTGCCCAAAAAGTCTCACCATGCAAACTCTCCGACTGCAGGTATTTTGCATCTTAAAGAATTTCATTTCTGTCTCTGAAGACAATTATAAACTATGATCCGTTTTGCATAAATACTAGTTAAAAATTATTTCCTGGTGTGGGTGGGCCATGCTTTTTGCCTTGTCATAAGTTTAGCATCTAAGAAGGCAGAAGTTAAGTTATTGTGATGAACTCTAGTTTGTCCCAGCCTTATGGAGCGTAGGGTCTCCTCCACTGAACCTTTGATGTAAATTATGTGGATTCTAGTGATGTCTGATGGTGGAGACAAAGGCATTTAAGCTTCTTGTTGCTGAATGTGATATGTGTAAGTGTATTCAAGAACATTAAATGGAGTACATTCCTCTCTAGCACCTCCACCCTTACAGGAAATTGCCAGCACAGGCTGATTTCTTTTTTATTTTTTTTAGGGTGAGTGAAATGCTTCTAAATCATAAGAGCTGACCAGAAGGAAAAAAATTAATTGATTTATGTTTTTGTATGTGCTTATTGTTCAGGTATGCTAGTCCTCTTAAGCGAACAACATACAACTATTGCTCTTTCTTAAAGATACATCTGTCTTTTAACTTTTATTTTGTGTTTGTACCAGGTTTTGCTAAGATAGAGTTAACTTTCTTCATAGCAGCTTGTATGGTGCTGTGTTTTGGATTTTTGACCAAAATGGTGTTGATAATACAGGGATGCTTTAGCTATTGCTGATCAGTGCTTACACAGTGTCAAGGCCTCTTCTGCTTCTCACATTGCCTTGCCAGTGAGGAGGCTGGGGGTGCACAAGAAATTTGGAGGGGACACAGCTGGGACAGCTGACCCCAGCTGACCAAAGGGATATTCCTTCCTGATGTCACGATCTGCAACAAAAAGCTGGGGAAAGGAGGAACATGCAGAGTGATAATGTTTGTCTTCCCAAGATACCATTACACGTGATGGAGCCCTGCTATCCTGGAGATGGCTGACCACCCGCCTGCCAATGGGAAGCAGTGAATGGATTGCTTGTTTTGCTTTGCTTGTGTGCACGGCTTTTGCTTTACCTGTTAAATTGTCTTTATCTCCACCCATGAATTTTCTCACCTTTGCCCTTCTGATTCCCCATCTCACCAAGGAACAATGAGCGATCAGCTATGGGGGTCTTACCTGCTGACTGGGGTTAAACCACAACAGTGTTTCTGGAACAGGCCAAAGGACTAGGCCTGATCTCTGGTGTTTATGTAATATGGACATGAGTGGTCACTAAGCAGATGGTGGTTTTTGGTAACTGAGAGTGAAGTGAACAGGAGAGCAGCTAACTTTTTTTTTTTTTTTTTTTTTTTTTTTTTTAAACAAGTGTTACTGGGGTGGATTTGCCTGTACACACATAGGTTTTTGCATACAGAAACACACATGCACACAGACTTCATTCCTTTATTGGTTTCTCCTGGGTTTACCTTATTTATGCTAACCCATTCCTCAAATAAGAATGAATTTTTAGTTGGCTTAAATCTGTGACCTGTCTTCTCATGGGCTCAAATATGCCTGAGTGCTGGCAAAGGAAAGGGGCAGGTATGAGGCACTCTGTTTTATAAGGCCAGCTTATGCTCTGGAATCGTACCCAGATTTCAGTGTTGTGCTTTGATCACTCCTGACGTCAAAGTGGTGCATGCTTGGCCAGCTGCCTTCAGCTCATTAGTGCTTCCAGGAAACTGAGCACCTAATAGTATGCCAGCACTGCTCTGGGTTTCTAAAGCTTGTTTACATCTTTGTTTTGCACCATCTTGTGTCTGAACTTTTGAATTTCAGGCCCTGGTTTGCTATAATTTCCCATGCGATATCTTGCACTCCCTTTGAAAACAAAAAAACCCAAGTGCTAAAGTCATGATGTTGTCCAATTGAGAAACTGGAAAAGACACTTTTATTAAATACAGACTTTACCATGCTTGTTAATTCTTCTAGCAGATGGTCTGTTTTTAACCAAAGTCACAAATGTGTCATCCCAAATTAAAGCTGTGGAGGTGACAGTCCTAGAGAAATAGAATAGCTACTGCAGTGGAACCAGCCAGCTGGTATGGAGGATAAGGCAGTGATCTTGTGTCATGTTGCTGGTTATATGAAGAGCATGTCCTGTGCCTTCCCACCCCTTGTACGGAATAGGACAACTGAGACAGTGTAATGATTTTTCGTAAGATCCTGTAGCTGTGAGAGTTAGCTTTTTGATGGAAAACTTCCTTCATTATTAATTTAAGTATTGTCCAGAAGTATGACAGGCAGGATGCTAGTTTAATTTCTGTTGAGCTGAGGAGGTGGGGTATAGGCATTATATGATGCCAGGTGAAATGAGAGTGCTAGCTTTTATTGCTGCTTGTGTTTTAGAACAGAACTATTTCAGTTAGGTGTCAGTCATTCATAGGTTCATTCAGTTTCTGGGTGGGCACGTTTTCGTTTCACTGGTGTGTTGTGCCTTTGTGCCTCACCTCACCATGTCATGTAGCCTGGTTGCTTGTGAGGATGGGAGTGGGAGCCCTTACTGGGTGCCTGTTGATAGAGGACATCCTGGAAGGAGTGCCATATTCATCTGCAAGCTTGTGTGTGCCTCGTCTCCTGCCATTCAGGAGTAAATTTGGATGATGTGGAAGCAAGTCCTGGGTAGCTGGGAAATTGCCATGAAAGATGTGCTTCTGTTCCTCTGTCTTGTGCACATGCACACTTAGCTAGAAATGAAGGAGTATTCATTGTAGTTGTTACAGGAACCGTAATATGCCCATGTGAGCAAACCAAGTTTGGCCATTTATACGAAAGGGGCAAAAAAGAGAAGGCTTCATGAATTCTCTTGCAGCAAGTTAAAAATTCCTTACCCCCATCTGAAGCTTTGTCTTCCTTGGTGATACAAGCTCAAAGAGGAAATATGTGCCCATGAGTAAGTACAGCATCAACTAGTTTAAGCTGCTATCTATAACTAATGTTGATTATTTTGTTATTTTACTTTCCTGGGTCTTTGATTAAATGGCTGAGGTTTGGGGCACGACTGTACTTCCACTGACTTTGTTGTGGGAGCAGTAAACATTGTGGGCTGCTTGATGCAATAACCTCTTACACCAATGCAGCATGCATTTGCCAGCATCTGTAGAAGTTTGCCACAGTAGCTTGCCTCTTTTTTTTATGTTTTATTTTTTATGTCATTTTTAATTTGTGTGATATGCTCTACATTGACACTGAAGCTTTGAAATCTTATTACTGCCTTGTTTCAGTTCATGAACGAAACAAAAAGAAGCAATAGTGAGAGAAAATAAAGAACCCAGAAGATCTTTCAACATAATCCAAAAGTTTTTAAACACAGTGTGCAGTGGGCATACACAAGTGTATGCATCTATTGTTTAGTGTCAGGAGCAAGCAGACATATGGGTACTTACTCATACTTACATTTTTGATTTTGACAGACTTTTAAATATGCCTATTCTAAATTGATCAGATATGTATCTTTATAAAGGAAAATTTTGCTGCTAGTAATTTCATATATGTTTCAGATGATTCCTGTTGTTCCACAGAGTAATTCTTCCAATGTCCTTTGCCAGAGTTTTGGTTTTGAGTGATTTAGGAGGTACTGATCTCTTTAATTATGCATAACTGCTTTATAACACTCTGTTCTAACACTGTATTTTCAGAGGTTGACTAAGATACGTCTTTGAATTAACAAGGAAGTCGTCAAATCCCTAAGGATTTGCTCTGAAAGCTTACCCAATAAGTTATTGGCATGAGTTAGAATTATTTTTGGTATTTCAATGTGATGCTAAAGCTTGACAAGACCCCGGGTATCGGGTGGCTGCTTTTTATACCTATACCTAGGTATTTACCTATATCTCTGTAAATGCAGAGTGTGGTCTTTATTTCATTTTTTTAATTTAAAACAACCCAAAACTCAATAAATCTGACAGTGCGCCAGGTTTTGGGTTAATCAGGGAGCAGGCCAGCAGCCATGGCCCTACCCTTTCCAGAGACAATCTGACGGAGGAGTCAGCGCAGGTCGAGGATAATGCTGCTCGGAAATGGGAGCGTAAGTAGGTCCCTACAACTAATCTGCTGTGCCGCCCTCGTGCCGCCTGGTCCCTTCCTTGACAGAGAGAGCCGGTTTGCTGCTGAGCTGACGGCGGTACAGTGGGTGGATGGCTTTCGTAGCACATGTGAAAGGCTGCTTCTAGAAAGAGTAGGAGCAGCAAGGATTTGCCAGGTAAATGCAGCTCCTTGCTGGGGGGACGAGTATGTTTTCCTCCTTCGAGGAGTGGAGCCAGCAGCACAGACCACCGCTGCAGGCCCTCTGCCAACAGCACCGCAGCTGCTCTTGGGTACAAAGCCATCTGCCAGCCCTGAGCTGACTTTCGATCTCCTACAGCCTCTGCTCTTCTCTGATGCAGTAGTAAACAGCCTACAGATGTAGAGTCAAAATTATGGTAAGGGATTAAAATATTAGGGCACTGTTGTTTGTGCCAGTTCTAATGCTGCCTGTGGAAAATAGCAGAAAAAGCTTCATCTGATCAAATTGAAAATGGTGATCAGGTTGTCAGGATTGTAGCTTAGTGTATTATGTAAGTATTCCTGTATGTCAGAGCAAATCTCCATGGAGCCCTGCTTTGTGGATGGGTGTGGGGTGTCAAAAATACAGGGGTAAAAGCTTAATAAAATTAATTATTTACATGTAAGCTAAAAATGCAAGAGGTTCTTAGATCTGAAGGCTGTTAGATGTTTCAGTTTGAAATATTCAGTGAGAGCAGGATGACTACGGCAGAGCTAGAAAACACTGGAGGATCACATGAGGGCTAAAAATACTCACACTATGACAGGGAAAATAACCAGGGCAGAATGAACTGTTTGTGCACGATTGCTTTATATATAATACGCGTGCCATCAAAGAGCAAATTGCACAAGAAAAATACCAATTTTCTTTAGGGAAATGGCACATTCCACTGTGGCAGATGTGCTGTAAATTAATTTTGAGGCATTAAAATACTCAGCAAAACCAGTCTTTATTTTAGCAGCTA